CTACTGGCCTTACTTCTAGTTCATCCCTCAAAGCTATCATTTAGGAAAACAACCCCTTTGGAGAAGGGGTCTTACATCCTCATCAACTATCAGCCAGCCATTGGGGTTGGCAAGCCAATCTAGCTGATGCAGCAAGGTACTCAGAAAAAGTAACATGAAATAGCTTGCAATAGTTGAGTAAAACCACTGCCACCACCTCCACCATGATTCCCAGCTCCTCACCCCCTGCCACCAATGGGCAGGTGCTGGAGCTCCTGTCTTGTTAGTAGCCACAGCTAATGAACACCCAAAAAAGAAAGTTCTTGATGCTAGAGCTCTTGGTATTTTTAAATGGGTCAATATCAGAAACAGATATCAATAAAATCAATATTAAAGAAGATGCATTCACCATCTTTTTTTTTGCCACAAATGGGACCTTTCCACCTGATTTTCTAATTAGTTGAGCCCTTCTTTCTATTTTGTCTCCCACGTTAAGAGCAGGAACTGTCTTGCTTTTCTGTTTGTATCCCCAACACATAACACGGTGCTTTGTACATATTAAGTACTTATTAAATGCTTTTTATTCATTTATTATTTTCTGCCTTTATGATATGATATTTGTGTGTTATGGTATTTCTCCTTCCTGTAATGCCAGTGTTCTCTGACCCAGTTGAAGACATCTTCTAGAGAGGCAGTATAGTATAATGGGAAGATCATTGGTAGAGTTGTAATTAGGAATTATGGAACCTGAGGCACATTCAGTTGTGGGGGTGGGCTTGGGTTTAGGGGAAGAACAGTACTTAGAGGAGAGTCTATCCTGGTCTGTTGAAATCATACCAGGAAAAGGGATGCTTATGGCATAGTCAGTAACTCCTAGCTCTCCAATCCTTGGAAGGAGGCAGGGGAAGAGGTTAAGGGTCGTGACAGTGGGAGAAGTTAGGTTCTAGGAAATAGAAGGTTGTACTTTTTAGTTATAGAGAGCAGCCTATGAAAAGGCATGGAAACTGCTGATGCAATATCATTAGAGAAAAAGTGAGCAAGTTGGGCTAGAACATAAAATGTATGAATGGGAATAATGCAAAACAAATCTGTAAGTTAGACTAAAGCCAGATTGGGAAGGGTTTAAATGCCAAATATAAGAGTTTGTATTTTGTTCTAGAGGCAATAGGGGGCCTTGTCTCTACTTCCTGGCTTCCTTGACTTCTTTCAAGTGCCAACTAAAATCTAATCTTCTACAGGAAGCTTTTCCTCATTCTTCTGAATCCTAACATCTTCCCTCTGTTAATTATCTCCAATCTATCCTGTATATATCTTTTTTGTATATACTTGTTTGAATGTTGTCTCCCTCATTAGACTACAAGGTCCTTGAGAGCCAGGACTGACTTTTACCTCTCTTTGTATCCTGGAACATACTAAGGACTTAATAAATTGAGTGACTAATAGAATAGAAATAGAATAGAATAGAATAGAATAGAATAGAGTAGAGTAGAATAGAATAGAATAGAATAGAATAGAATAGAATAGAATAGAATAGAATAGAATAGAATAGAATAGAATAGAATAGAATAGAATAGAAGTTCCAGACTAGGAGTCATAAACTCTGAGTTTAAATCTTGGCTAACTAGCTGTATGACTTTAATCAAGTAACTTTCCCTCTCTGGGCCTCAGTTTCATCAATTTTAAAATTAAAGTGTTGGACTAGATACTCTTGAAGGCCTCTAACACTTATAAACCTATGCTACTTTGACTTCTACCTCTTTGATACTAGTAGTCAGACTATGTCTGTAAAGCATTTCTCCTTGAAAGCTTTTTGAAATGAGTGGAAAATTACAAATCAAAAAGTTTAAAGTCAAGGAATAGTATTAGAAATCTTTTATTGACAGGGAAGATATGCCATTCTGGTTAGTTCTGAGGTGTTCTGACAAAAATTTCTTAAATACTAAAATCATCCTTACAAAATTCTGATTTGAAGGTTATGTGGTAAATATTCTTTCCTCTTCGAACAGGAAAGTTTACAGGTATGAATTGAAAAGTTCTTCAAATAAGATACTGTTTAGCTTATTGCCTCTTCTCTGATTGAACAGTCTTCTTTTTACTCCCTTGAGTTTTCTATATCTTCTCCCCCAGAGTAAGTTAAAAAGGCACAGGGAATGATAAGCTTAAGAACCACATTTATCTTTTTTTTTTTTTCTTATTCCAGAGGTATATTAAGGGTAGCAGCAGCAGTACATGCATGTTAGTCAGGAGTTAGGATAGAGGATCAGTCACAAACTCTTCCACTTGACCATTCAGAAATTAAACTCTGGGACTGAATAATTGCTCCCAACAGATACACACACACACCACACACACACACACACACACACATACCTCTTAACTACATATAAGCTTAACTTCTGTGTGTGTGTGTGTGTGTGTGTGTGTGTAAATCTTAATTCCCATCTTTGTTATGGCTACTATAGCATTGTGACTGATGCTTTCTAGCTTCTTATATAGACCTTTCCTCTTGGATATCCTCCATAAACATAATCCATACAAGCCACAGACCTTTGGCCTCTGGGGAATCTTCAGGTGACTCTAAAAACTTTGATGTGGCTTGACTGTTAGATTTTGCCCCTTTTTTGTTCTGTCTTCATCTCAGCCCCCTCATTAGTATCTTCAAAATCCAACTAAGATGCTTACTTCTCACATTACTGGAGGGAGGGATACAACAACCCCTTCTAAATAGTCTTATAAATACAGTTTTCCTTTCCACATCATGACTTTCCTCATCATGGTTTCAATATGTTGTGGGTTGGCATAAGAAATTAAATGGGAATTTTGGGGAGTTTAATGGAAGTTGCAGATAACACACAAAGGCCAGCAGATGACACAGAAAAAGTTTAGATACTCAGAAGTGTGTAAAATATATGTATAGCATTGTGTAATATCAACCCAAATTTTACAATAAGATACTGCAAATACCCCATAAAAGAAAGAGAAAAGAAAAAATTCAGACTTCTTCTCTGGTACGAAAGGAGGGCCAAAAAATTTTATACAGAGTTTCCAGACCATGGGGGCACCACACCCCAAACCCCTGAGACGTGGAAGGGATAACTATACTCTGACTCTGCTTCGGCAGAAATCAATATCTAGGATATTGTCATCAGATATATATCCCATTAGTTAATGGGAAATAGAGACATAGTAGGGTTGCCTAGATTCCATGTGAAACAGTTGGTTTATGATTTTGGTTATATATGCCAACTTTCTCCATTAAAAAAGATGATTGATAGTTGATTATTATTGAGGCTACTAGGTGGTAGAGTAAATAGAGCACTGTGCCTGGAGTCAGGAAAACCAGAGTTCAAATCCAGCCATAGACACATCCTAGCTGTGATCTTGGGCAAAATCATGTAACCTATTTGTTGCAGTTTCTTCAGTTATATAATGGAGATAATAATAGCACCTTCCTCCCAAGATTGTTGCGAGAATCAAATGGGATGATATTTATAAAATCCTTAACCTAGTGCCTGGCACATGGTAGGCACTTAACAAATGCTTATGCTCTTTCCCTTTTTGTGTCATTTAATCTTAATAATAATCATCTGATGCAGCTTTTTTTGGAGGAAACTTATGACTTCACCCATAAGGTGAACTTTTGGCAGGAAACACCTACTATTAATGTACACCAGCACTTCTTTTGCAACTTATATTTTCAGGCAGTTGCTTGAGGGCACTGAATGATGAAGTGATTTGTTCAGGCTCACATAGTCTATTTCAGAGGAAGGAGGACTTGAATCCAGGTCTTCCTGATTATGAGGCTGGCTCTCTATCCATTATGCTATATTGCTTCTGGATTAGATAGGGAAGATAATATCATTCTTCACTTTAAAGATAAGAAAAACCAGGCACCACAAGGTTCAGAGTCACAGAGATAATGAAAAGAACAGGGACCAGCCCCCAGGTCTCCTAACTATCTGTAGTGAAAGTGTACTTTATTTTGGCCTTCAAGTTGTGCCTTTGCTTCTTAACTGCAAACTTCACTGGGAAGATAGACTAGAGTAATAGTTTAATATCTCTAAGCTATTTCATGGTTGGTCTCACATTGCTGAGGTGGCCAATTAGAGGTCTGGAGCTGAACTCCTGTGTGCTCAGCCCCAAACTGAGGTCAATTTCAAGTAGGCCTTGAATAGCCTTAAGCCTGCCTGTCACTAAAAACCGGCACTGATTTGAACTTGTGACCCAAAGTTGAGAGTCTCTATATCTTGCTAATCATCCCCCATATCAAGAGACTGAGTTTTAAAATTGTTTAGTTAGGAGACTTTTATGTAATTTTCAGTTGTGTTTGGGTAAATGAAAATATTTCAAATCCATAATAATTTGAATAATGCAATAATGATTCACCTGAATGGGCATTTTTCTTCTTTCTTATACTCCTTCCCATGATTTTGCTTCAGAGAGGAGTAAGTCAATTTTCTAAATTCAACCAACTGTTTTTAAAATGGCATTTCAGTGTCATCATTTTCCTGTCTTGTCATCAGTCTTTCTTGGGAAGCTAATGGGAGCAGAGTGAGACCATTCTATCAGGGAAATACTCCTACTCCTAGCCAAGTCACAAATTACCCCTGTTTAGCCTTCCATTTCAAACAAATGGACAGGGCATGGAATAGACAGGAAAATTATAAGTGGGGCTTAGGTACACATAGATTCTACTACAAATGGTGAAGAAACCCTAGTAAATAGTGAAAGAATGTATAAATATCAAAGGCCGCTGTGGGAAAAATATCAAGAAAGCAATTCAAAAAGATTAGATATGGAGAGAGGAAAAGCCAAGTAAACGGCTTTCCTATGCGAAAAAAAAATCCACTTTTCTTTATAGTCTTAACAATTTGAAATTCCAGCTGATAAATAAAATGTGCTTTATATATCCAAAAGGTTGGCAAGTCAATGCTGATAGACCTGAGTTTCTCATCTCTATCTATTCTTGTCCTGGAAGTAATTACACAGTCGAGGAAAAAGAGCAACTTTTTGCATCTTACACAAGTATGTCCTCCACCAGAGTATGAAGGGTACCAGGATTTCGGATCAGTTTGTCTAGGAAGCTGACAATATCAGTAAATTTCGGTCGATGACTTCTCTCTTTCTGCCAGCAGTGGAGCATCAGCTGATGGAGAGATGCTGGGCAGCCCATTGGAGCCGGAAGTCTGTAGCCTTCCTCAATGGACAGAATTACCTAGACACAAAAATAACATATAAGTCTATTACATTTCACTTAATTCTATTCAATAATCAATTATTAAATGCCTACTATATACAAGTCATCATCTTCTTGATTTTCCCTTTACAACCTCTCAGGTCTGTCCCATTCTCTATCTTTGCCAGTCTAGTTCACACTCTTACTCTTTCTTGACTGGACTATTAAAATAAACACTAATTACACTTTCCACTTTCCAATCTATCTTTCTCATAGATGCCAATATAATCATTCCAAAGCATAGGTCTGACCAGGTCTTTCTCCTGCTCAAGAATCATGGGTGGCTCTCGATTGCCTCTAGGACAAAATACAAACTCTCATGTTTGCCATTTAAACCCTTCACAACCTGGCTTTAGTCTAACTTACAGATTTGTTTCACATTACTCCCTATTCATACATTCTATGTTCTAGCCCAACTGGCTTAATTTTTCTCTAATGACATTGCATCAGCAGTTTCAATGCCTTTTCATAGGCCGCTGTCACAACTAAAAAAGCACAACCTTCTCACTTCTGCCTCATAGAATCCTTAATTTTTTTTCAAGGTTCAATCAGATATCTCTTCATATGCAGTCTTTCTTGAAACCTGGGTTGTTAGTGCTTCTCTCCCTCATCAAAAGATCAATAAGGTATTTATCTATTTACATGTTGTATTCCCCAGGTGCGATTTCTCTCTCTCTCTCTCTCTCTCTCCTCTCTCTCTCTCTCTCTCTCTCTCTCTCTCTCACTTTTGTATCTTTCTTCCCTAGTAGAACACCTTGCAAATGGTAGGTGCTAAATAAACGAATGCAAAAGGAGTTGAAGGTGCTGTATTAGGTGCTCAAGAGCATGGAGCCCTTTACAGAAATCCTCCTTTGCCTCATTGTGCTGTGCAAGTGACTGGCAGGTTCCATGAGCTGGGAAGGCTTTGGGTGCAGCTTTGATTGTGTGGCTATTGGCTGAGGACCAGCTTGGCTAAGTTCAGAGAGGCCCTTTGCCTAGTTAGCTGTAATGGATTTTTTGGCCACAGTAATTCTCAAAGACCGTTTGCTAAATCTTAGTAGGGAATCTGAATTAATTTAATGGAGACACTGACAGAAATTACAGCTCTTGGAACAACTGAAGTAAAGATAAGCACAGAAAAGAAGCCAATAAGAAAAAAAACACATATAAACTGTGTGTTTGTTGTCTGAAATTAAAAAAAAAAGATCATGACAATGGTAAGATAAATAGCAGAATCTGATGAATTCTAGAAGGGAAAGATTATAGTAGTCTTAGTACTGTGGGGGCCTTCAGAGGCCAACTAATCTATTCCCCTGATCATACAGATGGGAAAACTAGGTCTCACAGAGGTTAAATAACTTTCAAATTCACACTAGTAATATCAGAATCAAGATTTGAATCCATGTCCTCTGGCCCCATAGACAGGGCTCTTCCTGTTTGCATGAAAAACCAATAGCTGCTAAAAATAGGGAAACCATCACACTTTGAACAGTAAGGATAAGGTCAAGTTTGGGGAAAATGCTAGAAAAATCTATTGTTGTGCATTAAAGAGAAGTCCCCAAAGCCTATTTTCAGTGACTCTTGCTAGTAAAGATGTCAGCACAAAGTCAATAGGCTCTGTGCAAACCACACATAAAGTCATCTAAGTAAAATTCTACCTCTCCTGAGGCACTGATTTATTTATTTTTTGTCCTTTTATAATAAAACCTATAGCAGACTTTCCTAGTTCTCATCGTTTTTCTTTCTCTACTTTTCATCTCCTCTTCATTCATTGCTGGCTTCCCCTCATTCTGACAGTGCATGTTATTATAATGCTCTCCCATTTTTCTTTGGGCCAGCTAAGACTTGGACTGCTGCCATCACCCTGCTTATACCTGAAAGCTCATGCTGATGTACAATTCAATCAAGGTGGGGAGAGTCCTAGAACACCAGGGAGGTAACAGGTACTAGAAATATTTTTCCTGGCTCACAAGAAATCACATGGTTTGTCTCCTGAGAGTCTTCTTTGGATCTGTATTTGCTACATGGGTGTAATAATGATTATCCAAAATAAAGAGTCCTTTCTGAATTTCTCAAAGGAATTTCTGCATGTTGTTTTATTCTCTCCACATCCTTTATCAGAGAAGGCAAGGGAGACATAATATCCTAATTTTACAGATGAGGAAACTGAGGAACAGAGTGTGTCTTCTGAAGAAAGTTACTCATCAATTATAAAGAAAAAAAAACTACAAACAGACTTGACTGAACTTTCACTGAGAAGAACCACAAAGAGCTTCTATTTCATTCTGCAGATTCTCTTTACATAAGCCATAGCATTGTGTACATTTAAAATTTTAACAATAACACATTTATTTCCCATAATTTTAAATCCTTTCTTTAGTTAATACTATCAGATCTGCCCATAAAGTAATCAATCAATAAACATACATTAAGCACCTATTATGTGCGATGCACCTGTGCTAAGTTCTAGTGATACAAAAAGAGACAAAAGATAGTTCTTGATCTCAAGGGGCTTAAAATCTAATTAAGGAGAAAACATGCAAGCAAATACAAACAAACAGGCCATGTATAGGAAAAATAGAGAATAATTAATGGAGGGAAGCTATTAGAATTAAGAGGGATTGGGAAAGGCTTCTGGTAGAAGATGGAATTTTAGTTGGGACTTACAGGAAGCTAGGGAAGCCGGGAGTCAGGGATGAGGAGGGAGAGCATCTGTTTATATGACTAGACATTTGCAAGTAGCAATAATGACATGTAATCAACAGGGCTTCTCTGCTGCTGACAGAGTGGTAGCTTTTTGGATAACAGTAAATAATATACAATGTCACTGTGACCAGCACACATTACCCAGACCAAGATTCCTACATTTTCTTTGTTGAATGTTCCATTTGTAAACATCGTTTATATTTTTCAGCAATTTTCTGATCAGGCTTATAGTTGGAGTGATCACAAGCTTAGGGATACTTTGAAGAATAAGGCATGTGTCAAAATTGTTGCAAAAGGGTAATTTTTTATAAAATATAATCAATCAATAAGCATTTGCTAAATGCCTGTTATGTGTCATGTACTGTGCTGGTTGCTAGAGATACAAAATATAAAATGAAGCAGTTGATGTCTTCAAGGAACTTACCTTCTATCAGGGGAAATAAAATAATAACAATAATAATAATAATAACTAGCATTTATAGAGTGCTTCAAGATTTACAAAGTGCCTTACAAACATTATCTTAGGTATCCTCACAAGAACTCTGTTAGGTAGATGCTATTATTGTCGCTATTTTATAGATGAGGAAACTGAGGCTGACAGAGGTTAAGTCACTTGTCCAGAGTCACACAGCTAGTAGGTACCTGAGGCTGAATTTGAATTCAGGTCTTCCTGCCTTTAGATCTATCTACTGCTCCTCTTAGACAATATGATAATTGGACTTCAATATCTTTAGTTGGATCCAAATTTAATATGTTAGTACTTTGATAACTCTATGATCACATTGATATGGACATTTTCTCCAACTGTATGGATCACAAGCCCTCATGGCTTCCCATTCTGTGTTCATCTTGTCCATACTCTTCCATAAATTTTCAATAGGGGGTCCACTCAATATGCTGAATGAATGACCTCCTGTATTTCTTTTGACGATATGTTGTGTTGTCCATTGGTTTTCCCCAGCTTTCACTACCTTTTTTGAGTCATACATATCTTTGATGTATTTTTGTATTGTTTTATGTGACTTTTAAAAAAAATAAATGGCACGTTTTATTCCTCTGGGGGGGAATTCTGGTCCTATTCATTGACTCAAATCATAAACTATCCTGCACCTTATAGCTTTAGATAGTAGCCTGGGGGCAATGAGAGGTAAAATGACTTGACTAACATCCCATAGGAAACTAGATTATGTAGTGAATAAAGTGCTACACTTAGAGTCAGGAAGACCTGAGTTCAAATCCCACCTTAGACACTTACGAGCTGTGTGACTCTGGGCAAGTCACTTAACCTCTCTCAGGCTCAGTTTCTTCATCTGTAAAATAGTGATAATAATAGCACCTACCTCCCAGGGTTGTTATGAGGATGAAATGAAATAATATTTGTAAAATGCTTTGTAAATCTTAAAGCACCATATAAATGCTATTATTGTTGGTGGTGATCATAGTAGCATTAGTAGTAGTAGTATATATGAGAGGGTGGGATACTTGATCCCAGTTCTATTTTACTTCAAAGCTGGATCTCTGGTCATTATACTGTGCTACCTATCAAGTATCTTGCATGATAATTCATTAGTAATGCATTATACCCTATTCACACTCACCATATGCTGTTCCATTGCCATTTAGGTGACCCTCAACTTGAATTCTTTGGATGGCAAAGTATCCCATGATTTAGTTTAATACCCAAACAAAATGAAAATCTGGGCTTGTTTTCAAGTTCTTCAAATATAATTTCCTGGACAATTATTAGAAGGTTGTATAGAAAACGCCTAATATTTAAACACAGGGACTATTGGAAACATCTTTGAAGACTACTGCTCAAGAATAATTTTTCAGAGTATTCAACCTTAATTAATACAGAGGCATTATGGCTTTGTTGGTAGAGGGCTAGGCTTTGAGTCCAGGAGATTTAATTTTGAATCCTGTCTTTGAAAGTTACTAGATGTGTGACTCTGGACAAGTCATTTAACTTCTCTATGCTTAGACAAGAGGATTAACCCAACCTTGGTCATTTTACGAGCAATTTCTGTACCAGGAATTGTTTGTAGAGTACAAAACTGAGGTGAAATATAAAATTCCTCATCTTCAATCACATAAGCTACTTTATATTCTGATGAGGGTTAAGTATTAGCCTCTCAAGAGATGATTGTAACAATAGTTATGTTACTGAATCCTATTTTAAGATGTGTCAATGAGCTCTTGTGAGAATCTTTCATGAAAAGGAAATAAATACCTGTTCCATACCCAATTATGCATTGAGTACTTTTAAAATCTACCTTTTGGGGAAACACTAGACA